GTCCCCAGTGCACCCTGTACCTCACAGACAGGGAGCCCTGATTGGGGAGAGATTGTGATTCCTATCGACATTGTTTAACCTCTGGATCCACAAGGGCCTGGATTCCCTATTTCTTTCTTTTTTTTTTTCCTGCTCCGGCCATTTCAAGCTGGGTTCCCAATCATCCTAATGGCTGGAATGGTGTGATTAGCTGTCAGGACACTGAGGTGACAAGCCGTGATCGCTCAGGGGCCAAATAACAAAAAGGTGTATTTCTCACTCTGATCAGTTTGTTGGGGTTGAGTGAGCCTCTGATATGTCTGTTCCCTGAAGACTGACTCAACATCTGGGCTGCTTCTGTCTCTCAGCTGTGCATCTGGAACATGTATCTCCTGAGAGCAGTAGAGGGTGGAATGGTTCGTTTTGAAGCTCCAGACCTCCATGCAGGCTGCTTCCTTTCCAGGCAAATCCTTCTGGCCTCAGTTAGCCTGGTCACAGGGCCCCAACAGAACTGTCAAAAAGACTAGAAAGTTCTAAGGGTCCCAGGGTTACCAGGTGAGCCACACAGCTTCTGCCACAGAATGTCTCCTCATTATCAAGGTTCTTCAATGCAAAAATGCAGACATCCATCCAGAGCTGCCTGGAGAAAATGCAGGCTTCTCCCTTCTTTTCTGACAGTTGGAGGCTCCAAGGTACCACCCCGAGGCTCTTCCTGATACAGAAGGACGCACTCCCTGGCTGTGACTCCTGGCTCCATCCCTGCCACACACAGAGCCCTGCACAGGTCTTCTACCAGAGCATTAATTCATCCCAGCATGCAATCACTACGTCTTGCGTAAAGAAACATGCCTGGTTTGCAGCATTCCTTCATACTCATTAGGTGTGATTCTTCTCTATTGTTTCCTCTGATTTCATGGGTTGCTCAGGTGCTTGTTCCTCCCTCCCTCCCTCCCATCTTTTAACCTTTCTTCCTTCCTACCTCCCATGCATAATTTTCAATTATGAACTATTTCCATGTGTATGACTGATTCCAAGATGAAAACACTTTCTCCTTTCTTGCCTTCCTGCATCCTGACCTGTAGCGTTAGCCTCCACATATTAGGGTGATGAATGATATTCCAAACCCATATCCCAGGAGAAATGACAAATCCTCTCGTGTGCCCCCTCACTCTCTGCCCATGGTCGACCTCTTATGTCCTTCCCCCGACTTGCCTTTTGAGCTGGGTGCCCTCTGCCCTCCTGGCATCCCCCTTGTTTCCTCCCTGAATTCCATTTGGAGATAGCTAACAGAAATTGACTGGGGTTTATTAGTTCTTTGGGCACATTTGGATCCTTTTCTCAAGGATCTCTCATCAGGCCTTCTTTGCCAGTAATTACTGCAGCACTGAAGACTTGAAGGAGTTTCCTCTCAGCACTGAGTGATGGGATTTCTTAATATGACTGCTTTTTATTTTTGGAGGGGAAAAATTAAATTAAATGTGCTCTTCCAGGGAAGGCTTGGTTAGTCTGCACAGACATTCGAATCGTTCTGTTAAAATGAAGAGCCTTTGTGATCATTCTGTCTAGTCATGGAAGTGAAAAGACTTCTGTGTATTTATCATGCCCCTGAGGACAGTTGCCCCAGAGTGTTATCCATGGGGCAGATGTGTTGTGAAGTCATTCACTGGCATGTTATTTTGATCAAGGGTCAGCAAACTAGGGTCTTTGGGCTAAATAAAGCCTGCAGCCTCTTCTGATAAATAAAGTTTTATCAGGACACAGCCCCATTTTTTGGTTTGTGTTTCTTTACAGCTGTCTGTGCTGCAGAAGCAGCTAGTAGTTACAGGGGAGACTGCAGCCTGTACGTCCACAAAGCTTGCTCACTGGCCCTTTCCAGAAAAAGTTTGCCATTTTGATGAACAGATGTATTTTGGGGGTGTATATTTTGGGACTGCCACACATCTAATTGCTTTGCTTGGAAACAATCCACTTAATCATGCAATTCCACCCTTACTGTAACCTAACATGTAACACGTAAGGGTAAAGGTTTGGTTTTGTTTCCAAGTTAGAGGCCTACTCATACTCTCTCATTCCTATCTCTTCCTTGGTTTTAAAAAGCAAAATGAATATCTCTGGTTTATAGTTGCTCATTGATTTTGATTTTCACTTTATTATAATTACTTTTCCCCCCTGATCTCTTATTTGCCAGAGACATTCTGCAGGGGGGGAGAAGGCAGTAGGATCAAAACAGGGGTGGGAAGAGCACAAGGGACTGTGGTGATGGTTCAGGGGTGAATTGCTGGTGGGAATTTCACAGGGACTGTAACCGAGATGAGAAAGCACATTGTACAAAAATGAAGAGAGATGTAAAAAATGTATAAAATAAAATATAATAAAAATAAATAAAAAGCAAAATGAAATCAATCTAGGAAGAACAAAAGCATAATTATTTTTCTAGAGTCCATCTCATGCTCCATTTCTCATATTCTAAGACCAAGATGACCGACATGGTGGAGCGTAACTTGGGCCCCCATGGAGCCATGGCTTGTCGGAATTTACTTCCAATCGTTTCGCTCAATGGAAAGATGCTAAAGTAATTTTCCAGGCTAAAACCTCTTTAGCCTCTGGTACTCGGCACTCATCAATCAGTCTAACTACCACGCTGGAAGCTCACCACTTCACGGCTATTTATGTCAAAAACACGGATGCTTTAAGTGAAGATCAGTTTCAAAATTAGATAATTGGTGTGTGTGACATGCATCTACGGCTTTATTTGAAAATTGACTTGAAGATGAGAAAAAAATGAGTATTTTTCTTTTTTGTAAAGGAGGGAAATATTGGAAGATTTTCTTAATGCTCTACTTATTTGTCGTGTGAGGCTAAGAGAATTCAGGGGCTTTGAACTCACTGTGAAAAGCTACTTGGGGAGAGATACAGGATTCTTAGTAAGGATGAGAAATCATATCTCCTGGAGGAAATTACCTTGTCTTTAAGCTGCTTTAAAAGAATCACAGCAAATATTCAGGTGTGAAACTACCTGACGGGGCCGAGGTCAGAAACAGTGACAAGAAAACCGATGGTGATTAATGTTTGCTGGGTCTTTTCTGTGGACCAGAAATCCATCAGGAATCCATAATCCCGTATCTGCTAACTGTTTCCCCAAATTGTTGAAGGTAGCTGAAACTTAGCCCCATTTCACACATGGGAAGATGGTGAATCTGAAATTTAAACCCAAGAGCATCTGGCTGCTGCCCGGAGATGTTTAACCAGAGGTGATTTGGCCCCTACCTCCCCTCCAAAGGACACTTGGTGATGTCTGTGGACAGCTGCCTTGAAGGGCACTACAGGACCTAGTGGCTACAGCCAGGGATGCTAGAAACAACCTGCAGTGCCCAGGGCAGCCCCAGGGGAATGTCTGGCCCCAAGTGTCAACCATGCCAGGACCGAGGGCGTCTAGGATCCCACCTGCAATGGCTGATACTGTCAACAGAATTTCCTGCCCACGAAAAATGAAGACACACAGCAAGAAATGAGAAATCACAGCCAGTTGTCCCCAACCTGGATTCAAGGTTCTGAGTGGGGACGTGGGCTCATGTGCAATTGACAGACGCTGCCCATGTCTTTCTTCAGACGGGCTTACCTTCCTCCGGCCTCCATCCTATTAGCCACAATCCACCTTTAAACCTCACCTCGTGTGAGCATCTCATTTATCCTGGGCCACGCCAGGCGTGTGCCTTTCCTGAGTGGGCTTCCATGAGCTGCTCCTCCAGAGGGGCTTAGTTCTAAGTCTCTGATCTCAAGCCAGATTAGAATTCCGGAGCTAATGATCAACGGCGCATCAAGCTTATTTCACATGCCTTATCCGTTTCCACTCAAAGCAGGGCAGTTTTTATAGGAAAGAGGCTTCCAGAAAGAAGCTATTAAAAATAGACTTTTTTTTCCCCTAATCTGACCAACTTCCAACTCCTTTACTTACCTACATGAGACAACTTGATGTTTCTCTGGGTCTGACAAGCTCATTTAGTGCTGCCTCTGCAGAGGATCGACTGGGAGAGAACCATGCTGTGGGCTTGGCGTGGTGCCAGGCATGCTCGGGGGGAACCCCCAGAAACATACGGGGAGTCTTTGCCTGCAGGGGTTTATACTGTGGTTGGGGAAATGGGACATATGCACACGTGGGGAATGAAATGACTAAGCGAGAGGCAAGTGATAGGCGAAGCCAGAGGCAGGGTGGCCAGAGGCAGGTCTGTTTCCTTTTTTTTTTTTTTTTTATTTATTTATGCATACAAGAACTGGGGCATTGGCCAGAGGTACAGGGAGGCAAGAGGATTCACTGGAGACAGAATGAGGAGCAGAACAGGAGATCTACTGAAATACACTGCTGAAGGGAGCAGCAGGGAGACAGGAGAGGTCTGCTGCACCGTGCGGGTCAGCTCCCTGGCCTGGGATCAAATTTGTGCTGCAGTGGAGGCCGATAGCTTGATAGCTTGATAGCACTGTCTTTAACCCCTTCACCACCAGGGAGGCCCTGCTTCCTTTTTTTTAAATTTTAATTTCAATTTTAATTTTTTTTAAGGCACTTTGGTCCTTTGTCCAGGAGGAAGTATTTGCTATGACCTGGCGTGTTCTGGGACTTTGTATCAAAAATGGGATTAAAGAAAACAAAATTTTTAGGGAAATTAGGAAAAGGTGGGGTGGGTTCCAGGTTCCACTGGTTCAACCCACTGTCGGGGTGACAGCACAGAGCCTGGATGCTGTTTTGGGGGGAGTCAGCTGGGCCTTGGATGTGTTGACTCAGGCCCCTCAAGAGGACAAATAGTGGGTGTTTATGTGGTGAGAGATTTGACAAAGCGAAATACTTATAAAAACTAATAGACGTTAATCAACGAAGTACGGTTTCTGTGGTTGGGACAGGGAATGAGTCAAGGTGGGTGTGACTGGTGGTGGTGGGGAAAAAGGTGTCAGTTGAATAGAAGGTGTGAAGTGAAAAAATACCCCAAAATATTGAAAAATAACTTTGATGTTAAAAATCAATCCAATAGAGTAATCCGCAGAAGAGCCCCTGAGTGATTTGGGCAGAGATGACAAGCTGGAAAACAAGACCCAGCGGTGAGTGAGTGTGTGTGCTGTGAGCGGCACCCAGGGTGCCAGTTTCCTTTTCTTTCCCAAAAGCTTTTTCAGTAACCCCCTCTTCAGACAACACCCCCAGACAAAGGTTTAGCTGTATCCTAGTATTAAGAATGTGGATAAAATCCCAATCCGGAGAGACCAAGACTGGGAAGGGCGAAACCCCCGCCCCCAAAGAGACAATTTGATGTTCATGTGAGTAGGAAGCGACCGAGTTTAAAAGGAGAAAATAAGATTTTGCAAATTAGGAAAAAATACTTAAGTGTGATTTTCAGCTGCAGAAGTTTCTCTTCTCCAAAGGACGTTTGGCACTGCAGGAATTAGTGCAAATGTGGCCGTATTTTATGGGCAGGAGATGAGGCGGGACTAGGACTTTATTAAACTCTGGACAAATTGGGGATGATGTTTCCCACTATTTGAAAGAAGTGATTGATCTTTTTTTGATTTGGAAATATTAAGGGGGCAAGGAAAGCTGCAGAAACAGCTTAAAACAGCTCTGCGGTGCTTTTGGCAGGCAGGAGAGTGTGGTTTTTTCCACGGGGAAACGCAAGGGGAAAAGGTGACTTTGATTGCTGAAATTAATTTTATTGCCAGACTAACTAACCCTCTTCCTCCTATCACACAGAGATAAAAAGGCGACGAGAAATGCTTTTTCAGACACCGTGGCTTCTTGTGGCGGTTGGGGCTTCTGACAGCCGAATGGTAGGTTTGTAAATATATCCCAGAAAGCTGCAAAGCTACAAGCAGATACATAAAGAATGAGGAATCTGATTAAGAAACGAGCATTTATATTTTTACTGGGTTTTACTTTTAACATAAAACATCTTGAAAAAAGTTTTATGATTTAGCATTTATGAATGACTAGATTTTAAGAGAATTGTAATATTTTTTTAGGGTATTTCAGCTCCATGAGTTATTTCTTGTAGATTCAGATAATGACATTATAAATCTTTCTGTGGAGGCAATTACTAAGGCAGAAATGGCCTATTCCCCATTGGCTTTTAGGTTCAGCTTACTGACATATTACAAGCAGGCTTACCGTGGTCATTAAAAACTGATCTGGGATTTATTGGACCTCTTTAAAGTCTCAGTACTTTGAAAAGTATTGAACAGAAAAGAATACAAAGTGAAGTTACAAAGAGGGCCAGCAAGGCAATCAGGAGAAGAGCAGATTTAATTTCTCCGCCCAGACCACCACACGCATCATGAAAATATCTGAAATTGGAGCATGAGTTTCTTAACACTGGCGAGGACACGCTTGCTAAGTGTGATTTCCGCCCGAAATAGTTTCCAGGATGGTGTTAGAGTTAAAGGGACGTGGCTGTGAGCAGCTGCCTGGAAAGGGAGGGGGTTCTCCACCGTGGTGGACACCTGGCCCACCTGGACGCACAGAGCATGAGAGCCGAGGAGCAGGCATCTCTGAGTGGCAGAGCACCCCCACTTGAATACAACAGAGTCAGCTTTCGGGGTGACTGGACGTAAATAAGAGCTTTCGCTCAGATTATCTGATTCCCTCATTATCTTCTGCACTGGGAGCTGCTGGTCTTGCTCCCTCTGCTCTCCCCAAAACATGCTGGGCCCCTTTTCCAGGAAGAGGTTTTCTCAGCCATCTTCCAAGAGGGGTGTTCTATCAGCACAGAGCAAGCTTATCCCAGGAGGAGAGTGTGGATCCCCAGGCCCTCCTTGATCTTGGGATGTTGTCTTGGCACCCAAAGTTGCTGCTGGTCAAGCTAAAATATAGAGTTAGGCAGGGGAACTCTCACCAGGACGAAAGTCTTGGTATGAGGACATCTGCTGAAAACAGCAGGCAGACATTACGGCCAGGTGAGCATCACCAGCTCGACCACCTTGACAGGAAGTCAAGTGTAAACAGGGGCTAGAGAGAGGATGTTTTGATCAGCAGCAGCAATGGAGTCCCCCCCACTCCCAGGCAACAGTCCCTATTCACTGACCCCAGCTTGTGCCAGACTATGACACATCCCCAATCCACATTCCCACCACACATTCCTCCACACATTCCTCCATGGACTTGCCACCTTGGGGGAGGCACTGCATCTCCAGAGATGTAGCCCCTCTGGGTCTCTGTTTATCTCTCTCTCTCACTACTTGGACCTTGAGTTGTTTTTCCTCCTTCCTGCATTGCTCCCAAAGCAGCTGCCCTGTGAGGTGACAGGTGAGGAAGGGAGAAGGACTTTCAGGAAAGTAGAGCAGGGCTCGAAATGCCACCGTGATAGTGCAGGTGGCCTTCTAGGGCACAGCCCTTGCCCAGGCCGCCTGGCCTTGTTCCCTGAGCTAGGCCCCTGGCCCTCTTTAGAATGAAGCTACAGCAAGGCTTGAGGATGCTTTTATCACCTTGCCAGGGTTACACTGAAGTTCTTTGCTTTACCGTCGGGGATTCTCTTACTCTTATAGTTCGATCACATGTTTCTCATTTTAAAAAATCCTTGGGTAAAAGTGGGGCCCCCCAGAAGCCCTGTACTGTTCTGTTTCTGTAAAATGCTTTGTTTCCCAGGGCTGGCTCCTCCTTATTACTCAGGCACCACCTGAAGCCCCCACCTAGTGAGTGTCCTTCCCAGCCCTAATGTGCGGCTCTCACCCCAGCACCGTAACTGTTCACCTCTTTGTTTCTTTACGGTCAACCAATTTCTTCTGGAAAGGCTGGAGAACAAATGTTTCAGGCATATGCATCACCCACTAATACTGCTTGGTGGCACATAAGTGCCTTGAGGAAGCACAGGAAGGAGTGTGCCAGGGTGCCATTGAAAACTTGACTTACAGGAAGGGCTTGGGGCCATGGCCTGCAAGCCCCTGCTTTAAGAAACTTTTGTATTTGTTAATTTTCCAGATTTCCTTGGTCTCTCTCCACTAGAATTGGAGATGAATGAAGCCACCATAAAATCTGCTGAGTTCCCCACTATGTCCTCAGGACAGAAAGTCTAGTACCTAGTAGGTAGGTACCCACTGATACAAGCTGAATACATGAACCAGTGTCTCCCTTAAGTGATGTTGTTTTACTCTAGTCTTCTGAATGAAATGTAAGTCTATGTTTTCTTTTTTTTTTTAAGATTAATTTTTATTTATTTGTGCATACAAGAACTGGGGTACAGGCCAAAGTTGTGGGGGTGAGAGGATTCACCAGAGACACAGTCGGGAGAAGAATAGGCAAATCTACTGAAATCCACTGCTGAGGGGAATAGCAGGTGAGACAGGAGAGGTCTGCTGCTCCATGTCCGTCGACTGCCTGGCTGGGGATCAAACCGTGCTGCACTGGCTGTGGAAAACTTGCTAGTGCTGAGACTTTAACTCCTGTGCCACCAGGGAGGTCCGAGTCCGCGTTTTCTTAGGAAAAAAAGTAAACGTATTTTTAAATGAAAACTTTTAATTTATTTGTAAAACAAAATGTTGGTGTTGAAGTACCTTGGGGTTTGGTTTAAGCTCTTAGCTCTGATTTCATTCAGCCTACATGGGATCTGATTTAAAATCCTCACTCTACAATGCACTGTTGTTTGATAGATTCCATGCAAATAATGACAGTTCATGGAACTGAATACAATCTGTTGTGCAACGAAAGAGCAATCAGCCCTCTACATTGCCATGAATTCTGGTGGATTCAGTCATCTTTTAAATGGTTCTGTTTTCATTCGTTGTCAGACTAACCTGACCTGTCCAGCTACATTTTTTTTGACTGTGGGGCCCAATATGGCCAATCAGGTGATGTGGTTTTGTTTCTCAACACTGGGAGACATGAAAATTCTTCCCCCAGTTTCAGACATAGTCTTTATCCCCAACTCTGGTGTATTCAGAACTCTTACCATGTGCTGTTCTAGTCCCGTCTTCCCTATCTTTGGAAGGGGGTATCTTTCCAACAGAATTAACTTATAAAGTTCATTTTGCAAGGTTTCTTGGATGAAGGAAATGCAGCTATTGGTACTAATTGTGTTTTTCCACTGGTGAGCTGGTTTGGAAACCGGTCTTTGGCATATTTTTATGGACTCCTGAACTAGGTGCCGCTGGAGAGTTTAGGATTGACTTTTGTTAGAAATCACAAGAGATGCAGCCAGATACATGTTTTCTCTCTCTGTTTTCTTGGACAAAGTTCACCATTAAGAAGACCAAATTCACTAGAACAGAGGAGGGAATTTTTACAAAGCCTAGGTGATATGATATGCTCAGTTTTGCTGCTCTGTAAGACTCATCCCAGTGGGTGAAGGCTCTTGTGGGGCTGAGTTCTCCCGGCCAGCCCTGGAGCCAGCACCTGAGCATGCTTTTGCATGCAAGCAGAAGTAAGATTTTGCTTTTGCTGAAGTACCGTGTTCACTTTTTTTATTGACTGCTATCAGGGGGAATCATTGACAGGTCCTAGGACATAGGGAATGAAGGTGTTAGGGGAAAAAGGGTAGGACGCATTAAAGACTTTATTTCCCCATTTTCTCACTGAGTTGTACATTTTCCTTATTTCCTTTTCCCTTGTAAATAAACCTTTTACTAACCTTTTGTGTGTGCCTGTAGTGGAGTATTCATAAGTCCCTTGTAAGCGCGCGGGTGAGGACCCACAGCCAGGAACCCATTCAATATCGGGGCTGTCCTATAACAAAGGGAAGAATTGTGTGAGCTGAGTGCAGCCATGATGACAGTGGGTCCGTGCACATCTTCCTACACTGGCTGAGTTAGTGTGGAGCAGACTGACCTCTCCTTCCTGGCGTCTGGTCAGATGTTCAGTGATGATTACCTACTCCATGACATGTGACCCAGATGGGCCTCTCAGTGTCACTTTGCTTGCTCCAGGCATGAATTCCTAATTAGCTCAACCATTTGGAGTCTTCTCTGGAATTGACCAGTAGACACTAAGGAGAATTTCTCTTCCATGGCGGTGGAGGAGCATGATCAGTGGATTCTAGGGAGAGGAGTATAGGGTCAGCTCTACCATGTTGCAGTGTGCATCAAAACAACATAATCAGAGTCTGAAATGGAGGAAAAGACAGAACGCCGATGCCATTGTTTAAACCGCTGAGCCAGTCTTGCCTGACCGAAGCCAATCTCTGGGCTTCCCGACTATCTGGGTAAATCAACCCGCCGATTTTTAAAGTCACTCCTTGCTTTGGGTTTTCTGTCATTTGCAACCAAGAGTCCTGGTTAGGGTGGCTATTTCCTATCATTCTGAACTTGAATCTTTTTCCCTAACTTGTAGCTCTAGGGTATACATTTTTACTATGAGAAATATCTTTAAGCTATTCATTTTACTCTACATTCTCATTTTTGGAGGGATCTATACGAAATGTCAAAGCATATTTAGTTGCCCACAAAAATCTAGTATTTTGTAAAACTGCTTTTTAAATTTTTTTGAAACCATTTTTGTGGACGTAACATTGGCTTGTATTTTATATAGGTATCAGGTGTATCACACTATAAATCAATATCTGTACATACCATATTATGTTTGCCACCAAAGGTCTAGTTTCCATCCTTCACCATACTAATTAGAAAGATATGCCTCTTGAGATACTAATTCATTTGATTTATTTGGAGCTGATCACGTGTGTGCACGAAACTAAAACCCAAACCTCCCAGGTATGCCTGGCTGAGAATTACAGCTCTGTGGGCTCAATGACTTATTTTATGTTAACAGAATTTTTATTGATTCCTGGGCTTAGACATTACAAATTATTTTTCACTGAAGTCTATTTACATAGGCAAGT